TTTTTTTTTTTTTTTCCGAAACTTGTATCCAAGAATTGCACTTCACAACTACTAAATAAGGCAACTTTGTGGAGTAGCTTTTTTATTTAACCCTGAATACAGCTTACATATTCATGTAAAACTGACAAAGATATACAAAATAAAAATCATAAAATGAGGATATTAATACAAAAAGAGGCACACCCATATCTTGCTTTTCACTACACAGTGAGCAATAGCGCATTTTTTATTTTTGTTCTATTTATTCTTTTTTTTCTTTTATGTACATAGACGAAGGCCAAAGGCCCGAAACTACGATACTAGAATATGACGTGGGTATGCTACCCCACTGATGTCGTGGTCAAAAATTTGTCTCTCACAACTCACAAGTTCTCAAACAGTGGTCAGATTTAAGTTTTTTTTTTTTTATTTTAAAAAAAAATATAATGTATATAGTGAATTTTAAATCATAATTCATCAAGGGCAGTGTTGTTTTTAATTTTCGAGTTTTTTACCGTTGAATCAACATTCGATTAAAAAAATAATAATCAGTACTTTCACTAGTAGGGTCGAATTTTGCTGATATTTTGATATGTTTGTACAAATATAATGTCGTGCAGCGTATTCATGTGGGGGGTTTTGTACTTATTGCTAGTTTTTCTCTGCAAGAAACTAACAGACATGTATGTATGTCTAATTAATAAAAACATTTTCTACCAACAGGAGTGGCTCAAGTGGTAAGCAGCTTGATGCCGCTTAAGCAAGGTCTCAGGTTCGAGTTCTTGTAGATGCAGAAAATCGTTGTTGGGAGACTCACCCACCACTGCCACGTATGTAACCCAGGTCGACCAACGGATTAGTTGAGGCATAACTACGGATACCGTGACTGGCTAAAAAATAAAAAATAAAAACATTTTCTTGTGCTCACAATATTGAACTGTGAAAGTGAGCCCATAAAGGCTAATGTTAGGCAACGTAATAGTTAGACTGTCGTACTTTTAAATTTAGATATCATTTTTTAAAATTAAATAAATAAAAATATAACATTTCATATTAAGAATGAAAATATTTCAGGTTGAGTGGTCGTATAACAGTGACTCGCCCACAAAAAAAAAAAAAATTATGAGATAGAAATTTCATTTTAATTTTCTTTTTATTTTTGTTTGCTTGTTTGTTTTGAGACTAGTACAGAGCCCGTGCGATGCACGGGGTGTACAATTTTAAGGTCATATATCCAGCCTTATAATTATATAAATGAATGAAAAAGATGTACGAGATATATATAGTACGTGACTTGTGCGAGACACGTGATATATTCATTTGATGAGTATTATAATTTAATATGCAATATTCAATAAAAGTTGTACAATACACAGGAAAATTGTATAATAAAATAGGATTGAAAAAAGAAACAATCATATATTATTAATGACCTCCTTGTACACAACATTATGAGTTTGATTATCGGGTAACTCTTCATTCTCACAAACTAATATCTTCAACCCCCTTTATATTAGTCACACGCGAAACAGCAACATATAATTGACCATGACTAAAGACAAGCTTCTTTAGAAAAAGACCAACGTGGGATAAAGATTGTCCCTGACTCTTGTTTATGGTCATGGCATACGAAACCATAAGTGGGAACTGCCGCCGCTAAAACTTAAATGGAACTTTAAGATCAGAAGGAGTAATATTCATTCTAGGAATCAACACTGTGTCGCCAGCATGATCACCAGTCAATATCTTGCATTTAAGCACATGAGCGGAGAGTTTAGTCACTACCAACCGTGTCCCATTGCAGAGTACCATTGGTTAGACAAAATTAACATGTTCCCATTGTCTAATATTTATTTGATTTTAGAATACATATTAATTAACATGTATTTATTTTTTGGCCGAAACGATAGATTTTAACATGTATTTATTTGATTTTAGAATACATATTTATTTAAGCCAAAAATTAACATGTTAATTAATATATCATTCCGCTAACACGTCATACTAATATTTATTTGATTTTAGAATACATATTTATTCATTGATATAGGAAAAAATAAAAATTTTATTAATTATTGTTCACCATATAATACTCAATTATTATTTTATTATAAATTTACAGTCATATAATGTAATTATTATTATTTATAAAAGTTATAGAAGTAGTCTTCTTTATGTAATGAATTTCAAAATAAAATTTTGAGTATAAATGTTTACAAAATACACACATGTTTTTTAGAATTCAATTTTCTCATAATAATTCTTTTTTTTTAAAAAAAAATGATTTAGCAATTGCCAAAAAATACATCTCTTACATAATCAAGAGATTTTTTCTAATTTTCATCCTAAGGCTTTATAGTTTATTTAACTTACTATGCAATAGAAAAATATTTTACAATAAGTTCATTTTTGAAACATAACAAAAAAAAGTGATAAAAACGCTATCATAGTTGACAATAATATACAAATAAATAACATGTCGAAATTTTAAAGAATAACTATAATTTTATTATCTAACCATCAATATAATCATTTAGTGATGTGATCATTATTTTTTAAATAATAAATAATATAATTTTTTAAGAAAATATTAGTGTTATATAATTAAATAAAGGTTAAAAAAATTACTCGACAGATATTAATTATAATGGATATCAGTAAAATCATTGCATAAATTATTTAAGGAAAAAATCGTTAAGATCATATTTGGATAGTAAATGTAAATATGCAAGCATTTAATGCATATAGTAAAAAATTTCTAAATAAAGTATGCATTAAATGTGTGTTGACTTTTCTTGCTACTGTTTTTGGTAAATAGGTCGGCTTTTAATATAGATATAGATTTGGAGTCACTATCATTGAACACAATTTAGCCTTTTTTTACGGTAATTTATTTAATCATATAAAAATGTAAACTATATATCAACATGACAAATATGGACATAATTTATTTTGACTCAATTAGCCCGCCTGTCCCCACTAACACAGTTATTATGAAACGAATGAAGAAATTAATTAAGAACCAAATAAGTTACACTTTTGTACCCATTTTGATAGTCTAACCTTACTAAGCAAGTGTCTGTCTATTCATCCTACTTTTTCAATAAAAATGTGTATACTGATATAATAAAATGTCATATTTTAATATATATTATTTTTTAGAGTATGATAACTTAATTTGAAATATGTATTTTTGTTGAAAAAAAAATGAGTATCTAACCGTTAAATCTGATACTATATTAGTCTTATTGAATTGATTAAAGCGTCCACAAGTTTTGATTTTCCATTTGTATTATATATAAATTCTTGTGTAAGGCAGTCTGTCGGGTTAGGCGAGTGAAAGTATATATATGTTTGTAGAAAAAATACGTCAGCTTAATGATTAGGCGGGTCTATAAAAATTAATATATTAATTTAAAAAAGTAATTAACCTAAATGTTTTATATTATTCAAACCTTGAAACTCATAACATACAAAAATATTGATAGCCCTATCTACATACAAAGCAATCTATATAGTTTGATAATGTAATAAGCTCTCCTTTTCTTTGAGACCACAATAATTAACATAGGTAGGTTCATAGAAGTCCTTTTCTATGATTATGTCAATTTTATTTATTTATTTTTGAAAGCAAACACCGACAAATTTTATTGACAAAAATGATAGAGACATTTATTACACATGGAGGGGGTGCAATAAAAGTACAAACATGGATGTTTTCATAATCCAAATGAAATTTATCTAGCTAT